AACAAAGGGGCGGGGATGCCGGTGACGTCACCACGCACCCCGCCCCTTTGTTAGACGCTGTGACGGGCGGGAAGTGTTAGGAGGGAACTTGCGCCGGCCAGAACCAAGGTAAGCTGCCTGCCACTTAGCTACCTATCTACAGCCTGCCACCTACCTAGCTACAGCCTGCATCTTATATATATTATAGGTAGATACAGACTGGTACAGACTGATGTGACTGGAGTGGGGTGGGGGTGTTTTATTTATACATATATACGCCTTTTTTTTTAGGTGACGGAATGGAAGTTTTGAGTGAGTTCCCCCAAGCCATACTGAGGGTCTCAACTGCTTCCGCTCTAAAGCCAAATGTGGTTCAGATTTGTGAGAAGAAGCGCTGTCAAGTCTCTGGCAGCAAGGAGTAGGCAAAAGATGCCATGCTCATAAGAACTGTTCATAATCTTCACTCAATGTTCTATTAATGTTCAGGACACTTCATGTTCAGAAGAAAAAATGAAAACTGTTAATAATGACATTTGAGGACTTTTTTTTTGTGAAATCCCTTATGCGGCCCAGCCTCACCCAGACTTTGCCTCCTGCGGCCCCCAGGTAAATCGAGTTTGAGACCCCTGCCTTAAAAGATCATTGATGTAATGAAGCTATAAACTGAGCTATGTGCTATAAGAGCATAAGGCTTACTCCATGGCTGACAAGTCCATATCAACTTCTTCTCCATTCATCAAAGGGATTTTCTTTTTCTTGTTCCTGCCAAAAGCAATCAAAACAAGTTATAATAATTTCTATATTGGTAAGTGCTGTATGGAAAAACTAAATGCAATTAAATTAGATTTTTTTTCATTACATTTATTCTAGATACAAAACACCACCTTCTGCTTTTGGAGTGGCAGGGAATGTCATGTTTGAGACTGTTCTCCTCAATCTGCAAAGTGTGGTTAAATGACCCATCCAATTCCTGTACTGTCACTTTTATAGGGCCCTAAAACATGGACAAAACGATGTTGGACCACATAAGACTATTGTAGTGTCTTCATTAATTACATAAAGCCATTTATTTTTCCTCTGTATGCATTTACCACATATTTCTGTGTGCCTGATGATGTGTAGTCCTGGCGAATCTCTAGTTCCAAAACATTTCTTTTCCTGTTAAAAGCAAAACTTCCAAAAAATTTGACCACTCCACTCTGGTCTCTGAGGCTGATGAGTCAAAGGTAATAATATATTGGTTAACTACAATAAGCTTATTACAGGAAGTTCATTCCACTGTGGCAAGCCCTGATAAATAAGGGACTATGCCAAAGGAAAATGAATTAATGAAGTTTATCACAATAAGGTCATTGGTGGGAATACACCTTATGCACTATCATTCTGCAAAGCACCACTACAAGGCAAACTATATACATTTTATTGGTGTTGGTTAATACTGCATTGTTTTGAAAAAAGAAATAAAAATATAGTTAAAACATAATATTTCACCCAGTCCTAGGTTCTATAGTTTATTAGTTATAAACTTCATAAGCAATCCCCCTAAGTCCCAGCAGTTGCTGCTAATTGCACATCATTCCAGTCATTACATGGCTATGCACCTTCAACAGAAATAAAAATGTTGGTGTCATTATTCATTATCTAATACAGTGGTTCTCAAACTGTGGTACGTGTACCACTAGTGGTACGCAGGCTTCCTTCTAGGGGTACACGGAGAAATGAAATATGTCATGTACATGCTACACACATTTCAAAATTTATCAAAAATTATGTATATAATATGCCATATATGACAAATAGCCTATATTTCTGAGGTAATCTGCCACATTTTTTAACTGTGCAGAGTTTTAGCTGCTTAACTGGGTCTACTACACTACTGTATTTCAATATTGCTCATTTTGGTGGTACTTGAAGAGACAATTTTTTTCTGAGGTGGTACTTGATGATAAAAGTTTGAGAACCACTGATCTAATATGTTCATTATTCACAATTAATTAAGGGAAATCAATATATGATGACAGAATGCATCACCAACCAGAATTAAGTATTCTTAAGTGCTATAAAATAATTCAAGAACTCCAACTTCACTCCACATAGAGGCGTATGCATTTGAAGGATACACCCACTGCTTGATGAGTGGTCCTATGTCTTTCCCTGATACATTGGAAATGGATTTGAGGAATCCAGATGTGGACACCAGCATCTGGCTCCACATGTGAGACTGATACTTCTGGGATGAGGCAGTGCTGGCCAGACTCAAGAGCTTGTTGAACACCTGATAGGAAATTTGAATGTTCAGACTGTAATTACAGTATCTTATCAGAATATGAATAGCCACAATAACAACCAAAAAACTTTATAGAAAAATTGTTGCAAACTATTGTGTGGGGTTTGTCTAAAAGGTGAATTGAGAGGAATTGATAAGATAAGCCACTAAATGTATAATGAGCAGTATAATGAAAAATACATCTCTCAATGAATTATACAACTTCCATGTTACTATACCTGCAACATGAACTCCATGCTAATTCTGTTTTCGATGAGCCTCATGACCAAGTGGGCCTTGCATTGGAACATCTTGTAATATTCCCAGGACAGTGTGTGTGGGTGTTTGATGGAAAAATGCAGGTGGGGTGTTGGACTGAAAGGAAAACAAGACATCATATGGAAGAGCTTTTTCATAAATTTAAATGAGCATGTTTGAAAAATATTTTAGAAAAACTGAGGCTAAGGTTATACTTGTCTTTTTCTTTCCCTCCAGAGAAGGTGGGATGTAGCAGGACTCCGCCAATTTTTAGCTCATACTCCACAATCTTGTCCAGTTCCTGTAGATTAGAAAAGTTTATAAAAAAGCAATAAACTCTACAGGTTGCCATCTGTGCAACAAAGGCAATCATGAAATTTACCCACTACTACTAATTTCATACGCAACTGTTAGTGGTATTATAGAAAAAGGAAAGCAATTCAAAACAACAGCAACTTGGCCATGCCAACTTTCTGCAGAATCAATAGTTTTAGATCTCCAAACTTCATGTGGTCTTCAGAGCAGCTGGAAGTTCAACTTAAAATCACACTTCTCTGTCTGGCAATCTGATGAATGAGCCTTGGTTTTTGCCAAGTTGCAAGGAGAACAACACTCGCCTGACTTCACTGTACCAAGTTAAAGTTTGGTAGAGAGAAGATTATGTTGTGGGGTTGTTTTTCAAGGGTTGAGCTTGGCCCCTTCATTCTAGTGACAAGAATTTGCTTCAGCATACCAAAAAATTTTGGACAAATTGTATGTTGCCAAAATTGTGGGAACATGTGAGGGATAATCTTTTCCACTTTCAACATGACTGCACATCAGGCCTCAACCCAACAGAACACATTTGGGATAAATCAAAATGTTGACAGCAAGCCAGGCCTTCTCATCCAACGTCATGACATCCCAAGTGCACCGCTAGATTCCTAAATCTTGTGGAAAGCATTACAATTTAAGTCACAAAACCTAATCCTGTTGTTAACTAAGTGAATATGGCAGCAAGCGAGTTATGCTTAATTATAACATACAGTTGACGACATTCAAAAAGATAAAATTTAAAATTGGCATAGGACAAGAATTGGAGTCGTTCAATAGTTTTAGGAGAACTTTGAAAAATGTGATGATCCACTTCAAATGGTGACCACTGTATACCTTATAGAAATCCACACAGATGTAGTATCACATCTGTAAAGATTCCTAATTAAAATAAATGTTCATAATGCCTGTGACAACAAGTAAAAAATCTGACATTATTTCTGTTTTTTAGTAATAAAATAACATTTACCTTTTTTCAGAAATCGGTGTCATATTGCAATATTTGCTAGTAAAAACATCTAACTCAGCAATAGATAATCATGGTCAGTGCATCACTAATATACATACACTTAAGAATAAATGGCCAAACAATTTAGAAACTTTGTGCTGAATAATGTGCACATGAGCCCATACATTTGGGCTCTGCCCAAATTAAGGTGCTATCTTCTAGGCACCAAATTTGCCTCGAAAGAGCAATCAGGCTACACCTGAGAACTGTACCAGCATATTGGTATGTTTACTGGCACAGCCCTACAGTTTAAAGAGTAGTTTACTCACCCCTCACCTATTCAAAATCTGACTTTGTTTCTTCTGTTGGACACAAAATAAGATCTATTGTAAATTGCTGGTTCCTGGGACCCGTCAACTTCCACTGTAATTTTTCATACTATGGAATTCGATGGGTCCCAGCAACTAGCATTCTTGAAAACATCTTTTGAGTTCAACAGAAGAAAGAATTACATAAAAATTTTAAACCACATAAAGGAAAGTAATGGGTATGTGATTTTAATTTTTGTGTGAAGCATTTAAAAAATGTGGGCATTTAAACATATCCATCTGACCACATGAATCTATACCTCCTTAATCCAGTGACGATACTCATTGACTCCAAAGGTCTTCTTCAGATAGAGGCCATAAATATATCCTGAAATTCCTTTCAAAACCCATTCATCAGCCCTGCAAAACAAAATACAATATATACACCATTAAATGTTCAGGTTACATCTTCAGAATAAAAGCAAGTGACATACATCACAGAAATGCAACGCTCATCAGCAGTTCATTATATTTCTGAAAGCATATTGACGTGTTTGAAAGCCATGTCAAATTTTAGTGACAATTAGAACCGAAGTCTGTATTTTCTAACTACTTATAACATCTGTTAGACTTTTGAGTAAGAGGATGAAGCACAATAAAATGTAAACAAAACTGAGACATCAGCACCATCCCCAATAACAGCCGTTTCAAAAGACGAGTCATACTGCATGTGGCATGCTATTGCTTGCTATCCCTTAAGCATGTCTATTTCTAATTTTGCTTAATTGTTTGTACTGGCTGAAGCAGTCTGATTTTTTTTTACATTTCAGTACATTAGAATAATTATATAGATAATAGTTAATGTTAAAAATATGAATTAGGTCTAAAGGTTTTATGCTTATTTGATGGCTTTTGTTTGTTTCACCTTTCTTCTTTGTTCTTGAAAGTTTTTCTAAGGCTTTTTTAAAAATCAAATCGATATGTAAATTATGTTGTATCTACCTAAATTAAGAAATATATCATGATATACATTTTGGGCATATTGTCCAGTATTATGTTGTCTAGAACTAATGTATGTACATTAATTGTGAGCATAGGTTCGAAATAACAAAACTGCTATAACATGCAGTTTTGTGGCTGGCAATAAACATCAAACTACTTGGCTCCGTTATTTCTACATGCTTACCAGGACATCCTAGAGATGAAGCAGCCAAAAAACTGCTGGGCCAGGGCTTGAGCCAGAAAGCTCCTGGTCATAGGAGTCTGATCTATGATCAAACCACTGTGCAGCAAGTTGGTACTGCGAAGAACAAACACATCAAACAGTGCATCAACTTGATGCTGAATATAAAAGTCACCAAAATTTAGAAGTATATAATGTAATTAAACACATACCTGAAGATACTCATTGATGCATATGATGAGACCTGCACATAAGCCTCATCCACAAAGACTGTCTTAAAGCAAGAATAAGGATAGCGGCAGGTGAGGATCTCCTCATAGAACTCAAAAATCTCATGCAGGTAGGACATGGTGTGCTTCAGAAGGGGCAGAAGCTGAGGCAGGCAAAAATGAGTCACCTGAGAAGAAACAACACATCTGATTTATAGCAATTGACTAAAAAGTAAACAATAAAATCCATAACTATGGAAAACAACAAATACATAAAGTTAATTAATTAAAACATGACATGAAAAACTGTCAAGATTCTAAAAATCATGTATTCTAAAAACACACAATCACAAATAATACAGTGCATCCGGAAAGTATGTATAGCACTTCACTTTTTCCATTTTTTTATGTTACAGCCTTATTCTAAATTGGATTAAATTAATTTATGTCCTCAAAATTCTACACACAATAGCCCATAATGACAATGTGAACTTTTTTTTAAATTGTTGTAAATTCATTACAAATGCTTATGTATACAAATACTTATGTAATTTGTAAAATGTACATAAGTATTCACAGCCTTTGCTCAATACTTTGTTGATGCACCTCTGGCAGCATTTACAACCTCAAGACTTCTTGAATATGATGCCACAAGCTTGGCACATATGCTTTTGGGAATTTTTGCCCATTCCTCTTTGCAGTATCTCTAAGGCTCTATCAGGTTGGATGGGAAGCGACGGTGTACAGCCATTTTCAGATTTCTCCAGAGATGTTCAATAGGAATTTGGTCTGGGCTCTGACTGGGCCACTCAAGGACATTCACAGAGTTGTTGTGAAGCCACTCCATATTATGGTGGTGTGCTTTGGGTCATTGTCCTGCTAGAAGATGAACCGTCGCCCCAGGCTGATGTCAAGAGCACTCTGAAGCAGGTTTCCATTCAGGATGTCTCTGTACATTGCTGCATATATCTTTTCCTCTATTCCTTTTTCCTCCAGTTCCTGCTGCTAAAAAACATTCCTACAACATGATGCTGCCACCAGAATGCTTCACTGTAGGGGATGTATTAGCCTGGTGAAGAGCGGTGCCTGGTTTTCTCCAAACATAATGCCTGGCATTCACTTCAAAGAGTAAATTTTAGTCTCATCAAACCAGAGAGTTTTGTTCTTATGGTCAGAGTTCTTCATATGCCTTTCGGCAAATTCCAGACAGGGAGTGGCTTTCGTCTGGCCACTCTACCATACAGGTCTGATTGGTGGATTGCTGCACAGATGGTTGTCCTTCTGTAAGGTTCTCCACAGAAAAACGCTGGAGCTCAGACAGAGTGACCATAGAGTAATTGATCACCTCCCTGACTAAGGCCCTCCCCCGATCACTCAGCTTAGATGGCCGGCCAGCTCTAGGAAGAGTCCTGATGGTTCCAAACATCTTACACTTATGAATGATGAAGGCCACTGTGCTCACTGAAACATTTAGAGCAGCAGAAAGTTGTCTGTAACCTTCCTCAATCTTGTACCTCGAGACAATCCTGTCTTGTATGCCTTTTCAAATCATGTCCAATTAACGGAATTTACCACAGGTGAACTCCAAATAAGCTGCTGAAACATCTCAAGAATGATCAGTGGAAACAGAATGTACCTAAGTTTAATTTAGAGCTTCATGGCAAAGGCTGTGAATACTGATGTACATGTGATTTTTCTGTTTTTTTATTTTTTATAAATTTTCAACAATTAAAAAAAAAAATTTTTTTTCACATTATCATAATGGAAAAAATTAATTAATTAAAATTAAATTAAAAAATTAATTAAATGATTTTTGAAACAAGGCTGTAACAAAAACAAAATGGAAAAAGTGAAGCGCTATGAACACTTTTTGGATGCACTGTATAAGCCTTTTTTATATAACTCTCTCAATTTAGGAATTCTGGGTGTTGTACTAAATCTAATGTCTGACTTGTGTATAGTTAGAATACTAAACATGACAATCAAAAAGAATATTAGAATAAAAAGCTGTTAATGCTAAAAATATAGGATTTATTGGGATACCACCTTTGACTTACAAAATAGCTTGTAAATTGTTCTTTTTCCATTCGACTACTTTTTGAAACGTTGCATTTATTTTAGAGGCCTTTTGACCAGAACATTCTAAGATCCTTTTTAAATCTAACAAATCAAATTGCCAAAACTTTGGGGCCCACCTTCTTCTCTGGTCAATGCGCGCGTTGTGTGCATTTTTTTTTTTTTTTTTTTTTTTTGAAAACGAAAAAAATTGATTTCTTCACAAACCTCATGCATGTAGGGGTCCACAAGAATCTCAAAGGGTCCTACAGCCATTGAGATGTTCGGGGCCGCAGTGGGAATTGGCAGCATGTAGTGATATGTTTTCTTGCGCATGTCATGGGTGTAAACAGTCTCTACTAAATCCCCACATGAGACTGCCACCATGGAAGCATCCACTGTAAATTCCAGCTTCCACGTACACAGCTCAGAGTATGAATCCACACATGGAAACCAGAAACTAGTAGAGAAAATTGGAAAAAATTAAATAAGTAGAAATATTATTATTAGCATACAGAGGAACACTTGTTTCACCAATGACATTTACATTTTCCGAAATTCTCTTACAGATTTACAACTAAAGACATTTAACCTTAAACCCAATTCAAAAGCACAGTTTTGATAAAACAGGACTGAAATCTAAGCAATTTCCTGAATTAACATAATTTGGTCATCTCTGTGGCAACAAACTAAATCTTTAACCTATAAATTATCTTCAATTTTCAAAAATTAGAACGTCTGCAGCTTACCGCGAGGAGTTTTGGTTGCCGAAGGAGAAGACATGGGCTGCTCTTTCTGCCATGTTTCCTTCCACATCAGGTACTACAAAATGCAAGCCTCCTTTTGGCTGGTCCAATGAGAATTCAATGTACACTTTCATAACTTTCATCTCTGAAGACAAACACCAGGTCAAACGGATTATTCTTATTGAAACGATCATGCCATGTCATGTTCCTATCTATCCATCATATTAATGAGATCTGAAATTGTTATTTATTTGATGGCTCATGTTTATTTCACCTTCTTGTTTGTATGAAGGCTAATTAAAATCAAAAGTTGAAAATGTATGTATTCGAACAGTTTAATTTCCAAAGTATTCTATAATTGTAAAAATTATACAGCAGGAGGTTTCACAGACTTAGCAAATTAATTTTCCAGACTTCAGATTTGTACAGATATTCATAATGGCCGTTCTTGGCAGTTTTTCGGATGCTTTAAATTATATTGATATCAGAATTACATTTTATAGACCCAAATTAAGAAATATATTGTGATATAATTTTTTGTCCATTTTGTCCACCCCTACAAGTAACTTAAAACTATTTATATTTATCATCAAATCCTTTGTTCAGCAAACAAACGATTTTGAAATTTAAAAATGTTTCAATAAACAGAAGTAATTAACACTTTTTCAGAACCTGTAGTAAATTGCATTTTGCATATGCTGCTTTATCTACTCACCATCCCCCTGCTTCCAGAGCTCAGAAGGAACTTTAATAGAAAGCTCCCCATTTCCAGCATCTGGATCCACAGCGCTAACTGCTGCCGTGTAAGCACTTGAGAAATAGTTCAGGTTCCTCCTGTTAATGACAAAGTAATAGCTTAAACATACACAAACATTATTACCAATGACAAGCTAAATAGTAAGAGATATTCATAAGTGATGCACTGACTCAATACTCAGATTGAGTATTGGCTTTAAAGGGCCATAAAACCCCCTTTTTCGGTTCAAGTCTACCTCAGAATTAAAAAAAAAAAAAAAAAAAAGAGGGGAGCAAACAACGGTTATCTCACAAAATGAGACACAAACCACGAGGAGATGCATTTTATAGTTTACAAAGTTAAAATGCAAATAAATAAACCATAATTTACTTCCCTGCAACATTTGTAATTCATAATTTCTTATACACATAACCACAATTTATATCATTATAAACATGTTTATATAAACACTATAAATAAGGACTTCTGATTGCAGACACAGTGGATAGCAGTGCAGCAGGTATCCTGCCCTATCTATTCCACCCATTAGCCTTGCCGGTGAACTGGAGGATTTAAAACATAGGTGAACATAGATGATGTGTCTAAAAGGGAATGAACTCAACTGATAAAAGACAAAGTCCGTCACTCTTCATTTCTCCTACAGCTCTACCGACAAAAATGCTTGCTGCACATAAACAGCTTTGCTGTATCGGCCAACAGGTAGTGTATTAACTAGGAATGCAACAAAATTCAAACTTTGGACTGAAACATCTGGATGCACTTGGACTAAAATAGAAAATGCTTAGTAATAATTATTTATTTGTGTATTAAATAACCAAGGAATTTGTCAATAACATATTAATAAAACATATTTAATAAAAAGTTAATAAAAGAACCATTTTTAAGTAACAATAAAATCTGACAGAAATATACAGTTGTGGCAAAAATGATTAGAACACGTGACATATTCAAGAGGTTTCAGTTGTTCTTGTTTAACTGACCTTTACTATACTCACAAAATATGTCAATTTAAATATTTATTTACAAAGTTCACACAAAAGTAAAGCACAGAACATAGCCTAATATGTATGAAAAAATAATTGACAGAATCGTAGAAATGCTGGACTAAGATCGTCTAGGGGGACGAATCGAGATTGCGATCTTTTTATGATTAATTGTGCAGCGATATTATATATATATATATATATATATATATATATATATATATATATATATATATATATATATATATATATATATATATATATAAATATATACATACAATATTTTTTTACCTAAAATCAAAGTCACAATTCTGTAGATGTAAAATAAAGGTTATATACGAGTAGGCTATTATTATTATTTTTCAAACATAAGGTAAAACAACACTAATAACATTAGGCCTATGTGTAGTTCTACTATTTTGTAAAGACTTTGAATCGTGGACTTGGAAAAAAACATATCAAATGCTTGCCGTAATCATAGTTTTAAATGTGGTATGATTATTTAAATGATATTAGTGGTTTGGTTTCACTTTCACTGCCTAGCGCCACTCATGGCTGCCGTCGCTTAAAAAAAAATACAGGCAAATTATACTTCCCGCGAGGTTCCTAAATGATCGCTCTGTGCAAAAATCTGAACATAATTTTCAAATTTATTACCTGTTGTTCACTAAAGTAGACCTCATTGGCAGGCAAGCATGCATCCACTCGGTAGTAAACAAAAAAGCGCATCAGCTCAAGTGCAATTTCGTGGTCACGAATACATCATTACATTAAGATCGAAATGACATTTTGCAGTGAATTATACCGTATAAATACAGCACGTGACACTTTTAATGCCATTTGGAGGTGTCCAGGTTGCTAAGCAACAAATATAAAATGAAATGTGAAGACTTAAGTCTCGATGTTGCAACTTTTACAGATGGCAATACTTTTCTTAATGAAGTACCTCAATCCAAACTCGCACTCCTACTACTCAAAACTCAACCTACTGTCAAATGTGCATTTATTAACGACAAAATTCTTACAGCATCAAAACCATCAAAATCAGGTGTTGTTGCCACCATCTGTAGAACTACACCAGTATCAATTATATAAAATGTGAATCTAAATGTTTTTGTAGTTGTGGTGGTTGCTTGTTTTTTTATGTGGAGCCAATGAAGTAAATAAAGAGATGAGCTGAACTTACTGCTTAGACTCATGATGGCAGACCTCCAGTGTTGGGTCATTGTAAATGAATGGAGCTTCAAGATCATTCACTCTGACCCTGTAGATTCGGCATTGCTTGCTGTTCAGTTTAATGCGGTTCAGGTTCACCACTGTTGGAAAGATGGTCAGCTCCACATAACCCTATTCAAATAGACAGGCAGATATAAAACCATGAGCTTTCAAAAATACTAGAACATATATCAGTGCCATAACAAGACAATAGAGGTAAAGTTGGTTTTATATTCGGATATTCAGACATTCTCCTAAACAATATAATTTCATTAAAGTATTCTTTGCAAATTCTAAATAGGGAAATCATATTAGCAGCAAATGCTTATCAAAGTACAACATTGTTCACAATCAATTAGATAGTATTAATGTTATTTAGAAGTCATACTTGCAGGCTAATTCCGATCGATAGGGACTACTGAATGAACAAATGTGCGAATATAAAATCAACTTTACCTCTATAACAAGACAGCATAACATTACAATCTGACATTTTACAACTATACAAAATCAGCTTAATTAATGGCTATAAATGCATGTGATTACTGGATCATGAAACCATGAACGTCAATTTAAATCTGTTCTCAATAAAAATGCTGTTAAGACGTATTGCAAATTTTCCACATACATCATGCCTCGCTGTTTAAATTTTTAATAGACTGCATACAAAGTCCCTTAATATTTTCTGCTTCATTCACATAACGTTCACGAAGAAATGGAAATTGCATACTCACAATGACAGACTTCCTCTGAAAATTTACATTGTTGATGCAGACAACCTGATGGGTCGTATAGAGATAAACAAAGAGTAACGTAAATAGCGATCATCAGAATTAATTCTCATGTGCAATGTAAACACAACTGTGATTAACGTAAACGTTACGTTAGTCAATTCAGTGAGAGACAAAACGTATTTGATACTTATAGTTTATATGGTCGTGGGCTCTCAAAGCCCTTGTCTTTCTTGCGGTTCATTCTTTCTTCGGTTTATTCACTTAAACCCTGGGAAAAACAAAACCAGTGTTTTGGTTGAATATGTTTTAAAAAAACTAAAAACAATTTTCTTCTGGCTCAAAAATACCTTAAGTCCATTTCGTCATGTCCTTATTTGTTTAAGTGTTGTTATAACATGTACCGACACTCTTCAGTTTTTTCTATTATGAAATTACCAACAAAACAATTTTCGCCCCAAATCTTTAGCCATGTTGTTGCTTTGCTCTGCCCTCCCGCGCCGAGTTCCTGCCTGGATGTTGTTGTTCTTCTTTTTTTCTTCTTACCAACCTTACTTACTGGTGCATTACCGCCACCGACTGGAATGGAGTACGGATCTGAATCTACGATTCCATACTTAAGGTGCTCGCTGCAGAGCCATTTGAGGAGAGCTGAGCTCCAGCGAGGGGGAGCATGAGCTGTCGCTCCTCCTCCTGTATGTTTTAATGCGCACACCAACCCCACCCCTAACCCTGACCCCAGTGACATCACTCGTAGAAGAAGTGCAAAAAAGGTGGAGCTCAAGCTTAAGCTCCCCCTCACTGGAGCTCAGCTCTCCTCAAATGGCTCTGCAGCGAGCACCACTTGATACTTAATGGTGATAATTTATTACAGACATGCCAGCGCAGGAAAATTTGCACAGTTGCATGTGTCTATAAAATTATAATAGAACTATTTTTCTTTTTTAGATTAAGGCATACAAATAAATAACGCCTGAAATAAAGGAAAGAGACTAGAGACATTTAAGTAGTGACTTGAGAATATTTATTTATTTTCTTTTTTCAGCTTAGTCGCTTTATTAATCTGGGGGTGCCACAGCGGAATGAACCACCGACTTATCCAGCATATGTTTTACACAGAGTGCCTTTCCAGCTGCAACCCATCTCTGGGAAACACCCATACACACTTATACACTACACGCTTGTTAAGTGTGACGTCACGCGGAGCAGCTTCCGGGTCCAAGCGCTCTATTCAACTGAATGAAACGGTAATTATAAGCGTTTACAAAGCGATTTAATAGTCACGATCGCAATATATATGTCCATGCCTAATATCCAATGGCCAGAAAGTGATTTATTGTTTTATAAATTGTTAAAATGTTGGTATTTGTTATGCAGCAAGCCCAGAGATTGTTGTGTACACTATGACTTTGTTTAAAATTAACTTTAATGTGTGATATGAATAAAACGTGATCATAAACGAATGATTTCTCCACTCAAATGAATGGTGGCTTGGACCCGGAAACAGTATTACATACGTCACAAACACGTCATAACGTAACAAGCGGATACAGACAATTTAGCTAACCCAATTTACCTATACCACATGTCTTTGGACTTGTGGAGGGAAACCGGAGCACCTGCAGGAAACCCACAGAACACGGGGAGAACATGCAAACTCCACGCAGAAATGCCAACTGGCCCTTTTTGCTGTAAGGCGATTGTCCAACCCACTGCGCCACTGTGCTGAGAATAGAAAATCTTTTTCGGTGGTTCGATCAGATGTCATTAGTTAAAGAACTTAAAACTGCCTATCCAACCAGGTTTATTTTTTCAATCACAATTTAATGTAATTTAATTGTTCTAAATAAATAAATAAATATAATCTATTTGCAGCTACATTTAGTAGCCTAAACAAATTATTCATTCATTTTCTTGTCAGCTTAGTCCCTTTATTGATTCGGGGTCACTACAGCAGAATGAACCACCAACTTATCCAGCACGTTTTTATGCAGAGGATGCCCTTCCAGCCGCAACTCATCTCTGGGAAACATCCAAACACTCATTCATACAAACAATTTAGTCTACCCAATTCAACTGTACTGCATGTCTTTGGACTGTGGGGGGAAACCAGAGCACCTGGAGGAAACCCACACAAACACAGGGAGAACATGCAAACTCCACAAAGAAACACCAACTGAGCCAAGGTTCGAAGCAACCCAGCGACCTTCTTGCTGGGAGGTGACAGCACTACCTATTGCGCCACTGCTTCGCCATAAACAAATTATGAAAATGCAGAAGAGTACAATAGTAAATTACTGCATGAATGCATCTGCAGACTTATCTCAGGGTGTGGACACAGAGCATCCAACAGACAACACGCTATGCATTATTGCCAGACCATTGATCTTTTAGTCACATGTTTTTTTTTTTAAGATTTATTTTTGGCCTTTTTGCCTTTGTTAGACAGGACAGTATTTGGACAGAAAGCAAAGTTAGAGAAAGAGGGGGGGGCAGGCAAATGGCCAAGATTCAAACACAGGACACCCTGACATGCTTCTGCACCATATGTCGACACTAACCGCTAGGCTATTGCACAGATATTAGTCACATTTTTAACAACAATGAGGAAACTGCTAACATTAGCACAAACCCATTTAATAGCAGGAAATGAATATTATGGTTTCAGATTCTGGTAAGAAAAGGAGGAGAGTTTAAGTTTAAATCGAATGTTAATTTTTCAAAGATCCAACAATAACCATTAAATCAGTCCGAGAATCTCATCCTTCGTGTAAATTGGCATAAACATATGCTTCAGAGCAAGGGTAATAGTCTATAGCTTTTTATTTAATTTAAATATTCTTACTTATAATTCAAAGTTTCTTTATGTCTGATTTCAATATTGAAAATTAAATATTACAAAGTACATAATCAGGGTATCTTCCATCCATTTTATATCCGTTTTCAAAAACAAAAAAAAAAGCTAAGAAAATGGCCATGTGGGCTACGTTATTATTTCTTTGTTATTATTTCTTTAATTGTGTTTTAGTTTAAAATAAAATTAATAGAAATTAAAAATCATTACTTGGCTGTCATAACTATCCAAATTCGTTTATATATTCACAACCTACTATTTCGATGTTTACTCTTTAATTATGACTGTATTATTGATATATTTATGTTTTTCTGTAAATATTTTCCCTTTTTTCATGTGGAATGTTGCTAAATTAATTAAAATAATAATAATAATAATTAATTATTGTAAAAATGTTTATTTTGCTTACTGAAATCACAAAATAATAACATACTAAATCAAGCAACATACTGCCTTCTTATACAACCATATTTTGAAAAGTCATAAAAAAATTAAATAAAATAGTTTTCTGCCAACCTCACCAGATTCTTGTTTTACATGTCCTGATGTACCACTGTGCTCACTTTTCATTATATTACCGTTCCATTATTTATAATTTATCATTTGAAACACAGACAGCGTGACCGCAGTCTGTTATCTGATCTCACAAGAAAACGTAAGTATTTTACGTTTGGTCAGATTAGTGGCTAATTCGTATGAATTCGTACGAGTTCAGTGGTACGAAAATGTACGATTTTAAAAAGGTGGCGTGGCACCCAACCCCACCCCTAACTCCAACCGTCATTGAGTGATGAGAAAATCGTACTAAATTGTACAAATTAGATTGTACGAATTCATTTGAATTAGCTACTAAATCAAAAAGCTACGAGCTATACAGCACGTATGTCAAAGACACAATTTATATAAGCCTGCTAACTGATCAAATGATAGAATATGTAAACTTTGTTTATATATATATATATATATATATATATATATATATATATATATATATATATATATATATATATAAATAAATGATAATAATTAAATGCCTGGGTGCTGATACGCAGAAGCTCAGATTTGGTTGACCAATCAGAAGAAAATTGGCTTTTTAGCACCGCCTACATGTGTACATTTTCAATATTGAATGTTAAAGTTTTTTATTTGTTTTCCTACCCTAAATAAAAAAATAAAGAAAAATCCTGTATTTTCGTGAGCAAATAAAAAAATAGAAAAACGGTCGTTTTCTTAGTTTTCCTTTTTTTAGTTTGAAAACGGATATGAAATGGACAGAAGATACCCTGATTGTTCATGTAACTTAACGTGTGCATAGGTGTGATTTAAACAGTAGGAATCTGACAACTGTAACAAGTAAAGCTGTACAGTATGTGTTGTGCCCAACAGTGAAACCTTGTTAATGTTATACGTCTCCAGAAAGGCTAGCATGCACAGGAGGTCACCTTTGTATTTAACTGCAGTACTAAGCTGCTTTTTCCTGTGGGTTTTCTCTGAGTTCTCCTTTTTTTATCCACAGTCCAAAGATTGAGTAAACAAAATTGTTTATAGTGTGTGTGTGTGTGTGTGTGTTTATACTGGTTTATACTTCTGCGTCAAGTGACCGGTGTGACCCACGGCGCATGCAACGCGCGTGGCTGTGCATTTATACTTCTGCGCGCTGTCTCTGTTGGTCTGCATTAACACTCCCGAAACGCTAGTGGGCAGTGAGGTGTAAATGTTCCTCTGTGTCGAGTTTCTTCGCTGCTGTTTTGCTTTTCCTGAACACTTCTTGGATGTACAAGTGGCTCAAACTCGCTCATTTTGAGGCAGGAACCAGCGGACGTGCCACAACTTTAACTATGAGGTAAACACAAAACAAAACTATCCATCCGGAGCTCCTTCGCAGGACTCCAAACTTGGAAACAATTGCTCCATCAGGCTCGCACCATTCGCGCGGCTCTCGGTCCCGCCCAAACTCGTCAGCGCTACCAAACCGACCAATCACAGAGCTTGTGCTACGCGTCGTTGCGATGTGTAGTCACATTTTTTGAGAGGTGCACGTCAGCGACACCGACGGCCACGGCGAAGGGCTATGCGTCAGCGCCATAGCATACGAGTGCGTTTGACACATAAGTATAAATCAGCCTTAAATGCACAGCGACACGTGTTGCATGCGCGTGGGTTACGCCGGTCACTTGACGCAGAAGTATAAACCAGGCTTAACTTAAACATGTAAACATGTAAATATATTTGCTTGCTTTAAGGAGTTTTAAGGATTTTTTAACTTTATACGGCTGCCAACTTTTGACTTTAGCTTGGAGTGAGAATGTATGCCCCGCCCATATGCCCACAAGCCACGCCCCCACCAAGCCCCCTATTTATTTATAAATCTAAAAAAATTCTATATTCTTTTAATACAAACTTTTATAAAATATTTAGTAAAAATAAAAGTATTATTATTGTCCAATAATTATTCTATTCTGAATAAATAAATAAATTCTAAATGTAATAAGCTAATATCATTTAGGAAATCTTTTGCATGAATATATTAATTTAATTAGAATTAAACTCTATAGATTTTTTAGAAATTGTTTTATAGAATTATCTGTTGTGTGTTGTCTTCTGTGTCATGAGCCAGAGGTCAGTTCTTCGTACCTCGCTTAAATGATCTAAGATGATTTGGCACATCCTGAATCTGTTAATCTTGATATATAAT